GGGGAGAGGAGAGGAGAGGAGAAGAGAAGGGAGATTCTTCTGTAGAGGAGGGGACCCAAGGCTGGTGCCCGAGGGAGGGGGTGTCCTGTCCTTCTGTAGATTTCAGATTTCCTTTCTTCTCGTGCCCCCTCCTCCTCCTATCTTGCCTACTTGAAAGGTGCAGTGACCCAGAGCAGGAAAGAAGCCATTCAGAGGTACAAGCAGGAAGGAGTGACCCAGGAAGTGCTCATTAACAACTCCTGGAGAAGAGGAACAGAACCTGAAGGCAGGTGGCCTTGGCAACAGATTGGAGGAGGGGAACGTGCTCTGGAGGTGTTAGCATTTTGTTTCCTTTTGAATCAGCTCTCATTTTCCTGACTCCATCGATCCTTACCTAACTGACTGTCCTTTGGCCCTGGTCTGAGGGCCCTCCTCTGCCAACAGACCTCCTCCTTCCCATAGTGACCACAGCAAAAATCTCAGAGCAAGTTCCCACTGGACCATCTTGGGTCACATGTCTATCCCTGAACCAAATGCTGATTGCCCACATTGGGGTCCTGTGCCCACCCTCTGAGCTAGCAGAGAAAGTTCAAATCACAGGGGTGGCATCTTGGTGGGCACACACATGGAAGTGAAATTTGGGAGCTATGAAGAGGAGGAGGAGAAATTCTAGTGAATGGGCAGAAAACAGTTCCTACGGTTCTTTCTTTCTCTCTTTCTTTTCTTCCTTCCTTCCTTCCTTTCTTTTCTTTCTTTCTTTTCTTCTTTCTCAGTCCCTATGGTTCTAACCTTTGTCCCTGGAGAAATAGCAAGGAAAGCCCAGGCACCAGCAGGAGTAAGAGAGGGGATAGAAGAAGCTAACCTTCATGTAAGGTCTGATGGAACACTGGTTACAGTACACATCATGCTACTTTTTGGAGTTGTTTTTTCTTCTGTGAGTATAAAGACCTGAAGACCATTTGAATATAACAGCATCCTATTTGAACTAACCCAAGCAACTAATAATTGCTGTCCCCACTGCATGCTCACTGTGTGCCAAGTTTTAAGAATTTCACTTAGCCAGGCTCCTGGCGCACACCTGTAATCCCAGCAGTTCAGGAGGCTAAGGTGGGAGGATCGCAAGTTCAAAGCCAACCTCAGCAAGGCCCTGAGCAATTTAGTGAGACTTTGTCTCAAAAGAAAAAGTAAAAATTTCTGGGGATGTGGCTCAGTGGGAAAGCACCTCTAGGTTCAATCCCTGGTATCAAAAAAAAAAAAAAAAAAAAAAGAAAGAAAAAGAAAAAAAGAAAAATAATCTAATTTATTTCTCACCATACCCCTAAGGACTGAGCAATGTATTATCTCCATTTTATACATGAAGGACTGAGACTAGCAAAAGTAAGTGGCTGGGCTGGGATTGTGGCTCAGTGGTAGAGTGCTCGCCTAGCACAGGCGGGACCGGGTTCGATCGATTCTCAGCATCACTTAAAAATAAAAGGCATTGTGTTATGTCCAGCTACAAAAAAAAAAAAAAAAAAAGCAAGTGTTCAAACCAGAATAATACAACACCAGAAGAGATGCACTTGACCATGAGGCCAGTTTGCCACTTTTATTTACAACTGAGTATCTCTCTGTCTCCCTCCAGATGCCAGTTACCTAAGGAAAAATCCTCCTTGATCTGTGTGTTTACTTGGGGTGGAACCAGGGCCTGGTACACGTTATGCAAGTGCTGCATCACCAAGTTACGCCCCCAGCCCCAACTTTCGTGGAATCCTTCCTTCCTTCCTTCCTTCCTTCCTTCCTTCCTTCCTTCCTTCCTTCCTTCCTGTTTCTTTCTTGGTTCCAGGTACTCAGGAATAGTTGTAAGGGCTATTCAAGATCCACTGTTTGTCTGTATCTCTTAGCTTGGTTCTATTTATGGGGGTGGGGGGCTACTGGGAATTAAACCCAAGGGCACTTTACCACTGAGCTACATCCACTGCCCTTTTGTATTTCAGGGTCTGCTAAGTTGCTTAGGGCCTCTCTAAACTTCTGAGGCTGGCCTCAAACTTGCAACCCTCCTGCCTCAGCCTCCTGAGCTGCTGGGGTTACAGGCATCCGGCGGGCTCTCTCCTAATCTTTTACACCATAAATACTTTTACTATGTGCCAGACTCTGTTCTCTGTGGTGGGACTACAGTAATCAAGAAAAGGGTCAAATGTCCCTGCCCCCATAGACTCAATAACAAAACATTAAACATACATCAGGTGACAAGGACAGTAGTAGCCAAAAAGGAAAAAGAAAAAAAAAGTTGTTTAAAGGTGAAGGAGGTATGTGGGGGAGGTGATCAGAGAGGGCTTCACTGAGGAGGCAGGTGCGGGGAGAGGTCTGAATAAGGCGAGGGAGAGAGCTCGGTTAATATCTAGGGGAAAAGCCTTCCAGGGAGAGGGAAGGAACAGCACACAGCTCATGTCAACTTCACCATCTGGTTATTTCTTCCTTCCTATTGGCAAAGATGCCTCTCTGGTTACTCCATCTGCCCACCACAACATCTGCAAGAAAAGGGAGCCTCTTTTCCCAGCAAATCCAGCTGAAATCTCAGGATGGAAGCTCAGACTCTCTTGGTTAACAAGCCCACCCTGAACCAATCACTGAGTGTCAGGGAATGGTGTACTTTGATTGGCTAGTCTGGGGTAGGAAGGCTCAATGGTTACCCCCTCCCTTCTGTAGGTGTGCACCTCTATGCAGGTATGTACCCCAGTTTGAGAAATTCAGTCCTAGTGAATGGATCTGATGATTTATAATATAATTATTTTCCAGATTATTAAAAGAACCATATAAAATAAAATACCAAGTGTATAAAAATGTAAGGGGCTGGGGTCATGACAGCGGTAGAGCTCGCCTAGTGGTAGAACACTCACCTAGTATGCATGAGGCACTGGGTTCGATCCTTAGCACCACATAAATATAAAATAAAGATATTGTGTCAACCTAAAACTAAAAAAGAATATTTTTAAAAAGTAAGCATTCCCCCCCCCCAAAATCATAAATGAAATCCCACTCCAGAATATGTGTAACTTTACAAATGAAGGACCACATTGTACCTTCGGCCCAGCAGCACTGCCTAGCCCTGCTCCTATACTCAACTGCTGGTCGTTATGATGATTGTTCTTATTTCCAGTCTGGGGAGAAGTGCTGATTAGCAGGATAATATCAGTAGCTTACATTTTTTAAATGCTTGCTACGCATCAGGCTAGGTTTTACAGATGAGAAGAATGAATATCGGGTAAGGTAAGTTACTTGTCTAGGGTCACATAGTCACACAAAGTGTGTCCGATGTTGCTTTTGGAGCTGTCCTTGGCCTCCAAGGGGCCACTGGTCCCAGGAGGGCCCCTGCCCCCTCCCGGCGGGTGTTTATCTCTGCCCAGGGCTGCGTGCTGGTCCCGCCCCTTTGGGGAAGCTGCCTCTTGGAGGCTTCTGGCCGGGAAGAGCCTGCCTGGTCAGCTGTGTCCGGTGGAGGCAGCTGCGGAAGCCAGCTGTGGACTGTGCCAGGGGCTGGTCCTCGGGGCAGGAGCCCTGGGCTCCCCGGGGGCCAGGTGGAACCATGGGCCACCTCAGGGCGCCCCTTTGGCCCCGGGTCAGTCCTCTCTTTCTCCTGCTTGCTGGAGCAGCTTTGGCGCCCCCACTCAACCTGCCTAACCCCAAGCTTGAGAGCAAAGGTAAGAATGGAGTCTGTGTGGACGCCCACCCTGAGTCCTGGAGGGCAGTGCTGGGGCCTGAATTCCCACTCTGGGTCCTGGGGGCCATACTAGGTTCTGCATCTTCAGACTGGATCCTGGGGAGCAAGCTAGTGTCTGAATCCCCAGACCCCGTCCCCATGAAGCAAGCTGGGGTCTAAGTCCCCAGGATGGGTCTTGGGGAAGAAGTTAAGAGGGGGGCATAAGATTCTTATTTTAGGGCTGGGGATGGAGCTCGGCGGTAGAGTTCTTGCCTCACATGTGTGAGGCACTGGGCTGATCCTCAGCACCACAGAAAAATAAATAGATACTTTGTGTCATATATATATATATTATTTTATTTTATCTTTTCAGGGAGTCTAGGACATGCTAAAGCCTAATGGAACAAGGGTGTGCTGGGTCTAGGCCTCCTGCAGTCTGAGTCCTTGGGGGGGGGATCAAGCGGACCCTCCAATTGGGAAAAGAGGCTAAAGCCCGGGTCGAGTCAGAGAGGCCAGGCTGCGGGCGACTGTGAACAGGGTTTGCCAGCGGGCGCCAGATCCCTAGCCCCGTCGGGTAGAAGAAGGGAGCGGGGGACACGGTTGGCGCTATCGGGAGCCTGCTGGGGCAGATAGGGGACCGCCTCCTCCACACACACCCAGCAGTGCACACATCCAGGCCTGGAGCAGCGCGGGCAGCTGGGGGCCGAGGTCTTGAAGGTTGTGCACTGCTCAGCTGGCCACGGGGTGGGCGGGTGTGTGTAATGGGGTGGGGGACAAGCAAGCAACCTGCGCTGGGGAGTTCCAAGGGCACCCCCTCTGCAGACCCCTCGAGGACCCCGCTCGGGGAGAGGGCGGGGCGGTGCTTCTTTTCTTATCGCGCCCGCACAGGCGGCGGAGGGAGGGCAAGGGGGCCGTGGCCAGGAACAGGGCTCGGCTTCCCTGACCCCCTCCCATTGTCACTTCCCAGCGGCCCTGCTGGCAGCCCGCGGGTCCGAAGACCTTCTGTGCTTCACCGAGAGATTGGAGGACTTGGTGTGTTTCTGGGAGGAAGCGGCGAGCTCTAGGATTGGCTCCCACAACTACAGCTTCTTTTACCAGCTCGAGTGAGTCAGGGCAGATGTCCCACCGCTGTGTGTGTGTGTGTGTGTGTGTGTGTGTGTGTGTGTGTGTGTGTGTGTGTGTCTCGAGGGGTGCGGTGCGGACAGGTAGGATTTCCCGGAGGCCCTAGCCTGAGATGTCCCCTAGAGCCTGGAGTTGGACGGCGCCTCGCGTTGTGGTCACTGGTGGAAAATCTACCAGGCCAGGGCTAACACTCCCCCTAGTGGCAGGTGCTCGAATACTCCAGTGATCGCCGCTTTCACGCGACCCCAAAACATCAGGACTGGGGCAATATAATTTCTACGCTGGACTCAGGCGTCACTACCCTGGAGCTGAGGCTCCCCCCGGTGCTAGAAACCAAAATGCCACCACAGTCTGGACAACACAAATTTCCCAGCTCCCCCTCCCAATTTGCTTCCTTCTCTCCTGGGTTTTCGGGCGCCTAGGGGTGAGCCACGGAAGCCGTGTCACCTGCACCAGGAACCCACTGCCCGTGGCGCGGTGCGCTTCTGGTGCTCGCTGCCTACGGCCGACACGTCGAGCTTCGTGCCCTTAGAGCTGCAAGTCACAGTGGCTTCCTCGGGCACTGTGCGCTATCACCGTACCATCCACATCAACGAAGTGGGTATGTGCACCCGGAACGGAGGAGGGGTCAGGGGAGGGGGTCTTAGTCTCCGCCCACCTGATCAACCCCACTCTGCAGTGCTCCTGGACGCCCCAGCAGGGCTGTTGGCACGGCAGGCCGAGGAGGGCGGCCACGTGGTGCTACGGTGGTTCCCGCCTCCTGGGGCACCTATGACGACCCAAATCCGCTACGAAGTGGATGTCTCTGCCGGTCACGGTGCAGGAGGATCGCAGAGGGTGAGGCCTGCCGGGACCGCCCAGCCCTAGCAGCTCCGCAGCCCTCCCTAAGTCCCCACCCAGAAGGGCCCCACGGCCCGCCCTCGAGGCCCGGTCCCTCCAGCCCCATCCCTGACGGCCCACATCCCACTGCCTTGATGCCTAAGAAAGCTCCACGCTCATTTTTACGACCCCTTTGCCAATGCCCCGCTGATCCGCTTCAACCCCAACTTCTGTCACTCTTAAATCCCTAACCGCACACTTCAGGACCCAGTTCACTCTAGGCTGTCGGGCCCCGCCTTTAGGTAGCGCAGGTCCCGCCCTTTGACTTGGGATCTTTACTCTGATTGGCCTTGAGCTTTCCTGGGATACGCCCCCTACTCTCATTGGCTCAGACTCAGGCATTGCCTCTCTCTCCGACTAGCTGGATCCCTGCAGGGCCCGCCCCAAGCGCCCTTCACTGTACGTGTCCACCTTGTGCCCCTCGCCCAGGTGGAGATTTTGGAGGGTCGCACTGAGTGCGTGCTGAGCAATCTGCGTGGAGCCACACGCTACACCTTCGCAGTTCGTGCGCGTATGGCCGAGCCGAGCTTCGGTGGCTTTTGGAGCGCCTGGTCTGAGCCTGTGTCGCTGCTGACTGCTAGCGGTGAGACCCAGGTGGGGGTGTGGAAGGAGCTGCGGAGAAATGCTGGGCAAACCCATGCCCTGATCTCTTCCTTACCTCCTAGACCTGGACCCCCTCATCCTGACGCTCTCCCTCATCCTGGTGCTAATCCTGCTGCTGCTGGCCGTGCTTGCCTTGCTGTCCCACCGTCGGTAAGCGCCGACCCTTGTTGTCAAGTTCCTTAGATGCTTAATGATCTGACTAGCCATTCTGAGGTCTAATTCCAAACACACACCGTGCCTTTCACACCCCAAGTCTCTGCACTTGCAGTTCCTTCTGCCTGGGATGTCCTTCCTGCCGTGCCCACTAATTCACTTTCATGGCCTTCTTCACTTATTTGTGGGAAAGTACATATTGGGTACCAAAATGTGGTAGGCACTGAGGAGAGAGTGGAGAACAAGCCAGATCCTGCTTACAAGTCCCTGACTTTCTGGATCTTGTAGTTAAGTCAACAAACAAGGCAGACAACAAACAAGGGCATCAACAAATAATTAATTATAAATTGCTATGAGTACACACACACACACACACACACACACTCCCTATCTCTTGCCGTGTGAAGCTTTGCTCTGCCTCAGGACTGCCAGCAAAGAGGCCATCTCCAGATGTCGGCCCTCAACCATGCGCCTTCAGAACCATGAGCCAAAATAAACTTCTTTATAACTCATCAAGAAAAAAATTGCTGGGCTGGGGGTGTGGCTCAAGCGCTAGCGTGCTCGCCCAGGTTCGATCCTCAGCACCACATACAAACAAAGATGTTGTGTCCGCTGAGAACTAACATATATATATATATTTTAAAAAATTGCTATGAGTGATATCCTAGAAACACATGGCGTGGGTACATATATGATGGGATACTTAGGGAAGGCTTCTGGAGTAGAAACCTCAGAGTTGATAGGAAGCAGCCATGTGAAAAGTGGGGAGAAGAAACTGCAAGTGCAAAGGTCCTTTGGTGGAAATGAAGTTGGTTCACTGAAGCAGCTGTAAGAGATATGGCTGGAGCACTATGTGAGGGGGGAATGGTGAATGAGGCAAAGGAAATACCAGGAGGCTGATCACGCAGGACCTGTGGGGCAGGGGAAGGAGTTTGGATTTTGTTTTGTGTGTGTGTTGGGGATGGGACCCAGGGCCTCAAGAGTGCTAAGCATGCCTTCTACATGAGCTACATCCCCAGCCCTGGATATATTCCGAATGCTGAGAAACCAATGAAGGGAGTGATAAGAGTAGTGACAATAGTGCTCCTCCAGGCCAACCCTGGACCAGGTTTGGAGCTTGAGTCAGTCTATATTGAGCTCCTTGACATCCTCACATATCCGTTCTTATTAGCCTTCTGAAGGACCTCACTGATGCTTCAGCCAAAGCCGGTTCCCCAGTCCTGATGTACCCCTCTGTCTCCATCATGATCACAGGGACCAGGAATATTTGTACTGGGGGCTAAGAGCAGTGGTGAGTGTTCAATGACTTATGTCCACCGAAATATTTCTATCAATTTTAACAGGGCCCTGAAGCAGAAGATCTGGCCTGGCATTCCAAGCCCAGAGAGCGAGTTTGAGGGTCTCTTCACCACCCACAAGGGTAATTTCCAGGTAGGTGGCCTGGTTGTCCCCCCAGAGCCTGGGGCTATCCTGCCCCTGAAAGAGGAAGCCCTGGCCTCTGAGCAGCCGGTTTTGCTTCTCCAGCTGTGGCTCTCCCAGCACGATGGCTGTCTCTGGTGGAACCCCTGCACACCCTTCACAGAGGACCCACCAGCCCGCCTGGAAGTCCTTTCAGAGCGCTGCTGGGGGGTTACCCAGGCAGTGGAGCCAGGAGCAGATGACAAGGGGCCTCTGCTGGAGCCAGCGGGCAATGAACATACCCAGGACTCCTATCTGGTGCTGGACAAGTGGTTGCTGCCCCAGAGCCCATGCAGTGAGGACCTCTCAGGGCCTGATGGCAGTGTGGACACAGTGGCTGTGGATGAAGGCTCAGAAGCATCCTCATGCTCATCTGCTTTGGTCTTAAAGCCCAGACAAGAGGGGGCCTCAGCTGCCAGCTTTGAGTACACCATCCTGGATCCCAGCTCCCAGCTCCTGCGTCCTCGAGCACTGCCTCCTGAGCTGCCCCCCACCCCACCCCACCTGAAGTACTTGTACCTCGTGGTTTCTGATTCAGGCATCTCAACTGATTACAGCTCAGGGGACTCCCAGGGAGCCCAAGGGGGCTCCTTCGATAGCCCGTACTCCAACCTGTATGAGAACAGCCCTGTCCCAACCCCTGAGCCTCTGTCCCCCAGCTATGTGGCCTGCTCTTAGGACTCCAGCCTACAGATGCGTGGGGATCCAACATGACTGCAACGCCAGTTCAGGTCCAAGACTGACCTGAACAGGAAAGAGAGGCTACCCTCAAGGCTAGGGGCATTGCTAACTTTGACTGTTTACCCAACCCATTCTGCTCAGAAAGTCCCAACTGTGCAGTATTTTATAATATGTATGTTCTTTTTTTTTTTGTATGTACATATATGTATAAAATATGTTAAGTTTTTCTACTATGACTTCTGCAAACTCTCTGTAAGCCCCATATTTCCCTAGGCCATGGCCATAGGGGCAGCAGATAAAGTCCTTGATCTCACTCTGAAATTTTGGACCTGGCAATGTGAAGACTAATCATAATGAAATAAATTAGTCATGTAAATTACACTAGCTGGTGTAACAAGCAGCTCCTAGATCTTAGTGGCTTAGCTCATTACATGGTTTCTCGCTGATATCCTAATTCAGACTGGTGGGAAGCCATTTTGGGATGAGTCAGAGGCCCAAACTCTTTTGGTCTATAGCTTAGTCTTCTCTTGGGATGACCATGGGGTCCTTAGATAGACCCTCTACGCCCTGCCAGCTAATAAACAAAGGGATGCAGCAGAACAGCAGGAGATTCCACAGTTCATTTTAGGGATCTCATCTGAAGACAGTCTCTTTTCTCACATTCTACTGGTCAGAAAGTCATGTGACCCAACTAGAACCATGGGATGCTGAGAGATGTAATCTGTTGTACACCCAAGGAGAAGAAAACTTTAGTAACCCTCTATCTAGTCTCTATCACTAATAACAACAACAGGGGCTGGGGTTGTGGCTCAGCTGTAGAGCACTCGCCTGGCGCGTGCATGGCCCTGGGTTCAATCCTCAGCACCACATAAAAATAAATAAAAATAAAGGCATTATTTACAACTAAAATAAATAAATTTTTAAAAACCCAATAAAACAGTATCTCACAGGGCTTTATTCTGAATCAGGCTTTTTTTTTTTTTTTTGGTGCTGGGATTGAACTCAGGGGTACTCTGTTACTGAGCTACATCTCCAATCCTTTTTATTTTTTATTTTGAGACAAGGTTTCACTAAGTTGCTTAGGGCCTCCCTAAGTTGTTGAGGCTGGCCTTGAACTTACAATCCTCCTGTCTCAGCCTCCTGAGTTGCTGAAATTACAAGCTTGTGCGCTACACCTAGTCAGGCCATGTTTTAAAGAAAGCACTGGCTCCTATAATTGCAGGAGGCTGAGGTAGGAAGATTGCAAGTTCTAGGCCAGTCTCAACAACTTAAAGAGACCCTGTCTCAAAAATTAAAAAAAAACAACTGAGGATGTAGCTCAGTGGTAGAGCGTCTCTGGGTTCCATCCCCAGTACTGGGGACAAAAGGGGGTGGTGAGAGAAAGTACTGTGGTGATGCCAAATATCATTATGACATTTAGCAGCAATTTTCATTTGGCCCCTTTTTAAAAGTTTGGCTTAATCAGAGAAAGCTGAAAACATGAATACTTTATGCTACAGAAATTCCACTTTTAAGTATATACCCTAGGTATATATCCTGGTACACCTATGTATACAGGACATGTTTACTAGAATGTTCAAGCAGTAAATAAGTCAATCTGGTGAATAAATTAGGGTATAGTTGCCCGTGGATTAATATGCAACATCGAAAAAGGAATGAACTAGAAGATGTGGCTGAGTCTTAGTTACAATCTTAACTGGGCAAAGAAGGAAGCCTCAGATTACATTTATCATGAAACTCTTTATACAGTTCAAAACAGTAAAAAAAAGAAAAAATCAATTGATTGGACATAATATGTACATGGTAATACTAGGGTGTTTTTGCTTGTTTATGGTATCGAGGATTGAACCCAGGGCCTCACACATGCTATGCAAGCTCTCCCCAACCTCTATAATGCTAATTTTTATTTTTTAGGTGTAGATGGACACAACACAATGCCTTTATTTTTATGTGGTGCTGAGGATCAAACCAGGGTCCTGCCCATGCTAGGCGAGTGCTCTACTGCTGAGCCACAATCCCAGCCCTATAATGCTAATTTTTAACCCCTATATATAGTGCTAAAGAGAAAAAGCACTTTATATTCTTTAAGTGATGAATCTGCACACGTTCCGGAAGTAAGTATTCCAGCCCCTGGAAACTGAGGCAGACACGTTGACACACACCAAGGTTCAGGGCTGGTCTCCAGAGCTTGAACTCTTGTCTGAGCTGGGGTCACAAGCCTGGGTGGGCCACCTGGTGATCTTCATCTCTCCATCTGGTTGGAAAGTCACACACCACTCTGTCCTGGGACCCAGCCCACTTGGCTCAAGGCAGGCTCGGATGCGGCACTCTCCTGGGCCTGGTGCATCTGGCTGCAGCCAGCACTGGGCAGGGAAATACCGCTGGAGCAGTGCCAGCTGCAGGGCATTCCCATTGTCTCCTTCCTCCTGAGTCTGGAGGGCCACCATGAGCCCACAGTCCCGGTTGGGTCCACGTCGGTGGCTGAAGTAGGCAACTGTATCCAGAAGCAAGGCAGCCAGGTAGGCGGCTTCCTGGGGCCCAGGGTCTTTTGCTAGGTACTCCTCCAGGCCATCAAGCAGCAGTAGGGAGGGGGCAGGCCCGGGAGCCTCATGGGCAGAGCACAGGAGCCGGAGAAGCTCTCCAGTTGAGGGTGGGTACTGGAAGCGAATCTTCTAGAAGATTCAAAAATAAGAAAAAGAAAAGAAAAGGCCAGATTCAGCACAGGAAGTCAGACTCCCTGCAGTGGCAGCCCTGCTGTCCCAGACTCTCTCGCTCCCTAGACAGCTGGTTCCAGGGTGACAACGTGGTAAATATTCTCCTATCCATCCTTTTTCCAGCACTGCCATGTCCTAGTTAAGGGCCAATACTGCCAGAGGAAACCTGCCCCTACCATCACTCTCAGTCCGACCAAGCCCTGAAAATTTAGCTCCATTAGCCCCACCCCTCAATTAACATTGACCCCGCCCCCTGGGCCTGCCTCTAACACCGCCCGTCATGGGCTGGTTTTTCACTCAATTAAGTTCCGCTGGTTCCACCCCTCACGCACTCCTGACTCCACCCCATCATGGCCGCTCGGGTGAGCCCTCCCGCCATCCCCGCCAGGGACCTACCAATCTATCACTCAATCCTCGACCCGCCCCACTATTGGCTGGTATGCCTCTGGTCCCGCCCCACCGTTACCTGCAGCCGCAGAGGGTCAAGCGCCCCACCGATACCGCGGGGCAGGCTTTGAAGAGGCCTACGAGTCAGGAAGAGGACAGGGCCTCGGCCCTCTCCTGCCGCCTCCAAGGCCGCCGCAAATAGCAGCGCTGTTTTTCCAGAGCCTGGAGCACCGAGTAAGAGCAAAGGTGGCCCCACCTCTGCCGTGTCCTCCCCGGTCCCCACCGCGCTGCCCCGGCTTAGCACCCGCCTCAGCGTCTCCGCCATTCGCAACACGTCTCTGTCCAATCGGGGGCGCATTCCCAGCCTTGATCCCTCCCAAACTGAGGCCTCATTGGTTACAGTAAACTTAGCTTCTCTATTGGTCCCTGGAGCTGTCCGTCAAAAGTAAATCGTGTTTGCTAGCTCCCCCCCTGGGGACTGAGCAGATAACCTAGTCTTGAGTTTTAGAGAAATGGAGGAATTTAAGGGAGATAAGACCGTTCTCTGAGGGAGGCTGCTGGGGGAAGCAGCATGAGTACTATTAAGGCGAGCTAATCAGCTAGTCAGCTAATCAGCATATCTTTTCCTATGCTTTCATCTTTAGTCTGTGCACGTCTCTAAGGTGAGTGTCTTGTAAGCAACATATACGCATTGAGTGTTGGAGCAAACAGGCCCAAATCACTGACATTACTTCAAGTCTCCTAGCCTAAGTTTGCTCACCTGTAAAATGGGTATCATGGTGTCTCAGGGCAATATTGATGGGCTTGTGTCTGTGTGTGGTTTTGATGATGTCACCCAATGCAACTGAGAAGTGTAGCGGGATGAGTTGTGTGCTTGTGTCTCTACACACCTGACTATGGTGACAAGTGTTTGGGGCCACAGGTTCAGGCACACTGTGTGCAAACAACAACGACACAACAAAACAGCAGCAGCTACCTAAGAGGCTCTGTGAGAAGAGGCTTCTCACCGTACGTTCTCATTGGCATGGGGGCTTCTCGAATCTTGCTTGTGCTGAGGGAAGGAGTGAAGGGGGAATATAAGACAAAAGAGGCAGGAAAGAAAGGGTCTGGGAGAGAGAAATTCAGTAGAGGTCTGGTTTGCCTTGTCACCTCTGTCACTCCAGGGCTCAGAACAGCGTTAACACATTGTAAGTCTCAAATATGTTCTTGTTAAATCAGCAAAGGAAGAAAGGTAGGGATTTTGAGAAACTGGGTGAGAGGAAGGAACGAAGTGAGTGAGCATGATCACTGACTGGGTCTCCTCACCCAGACTTTGCCCCAGAGCTGCCACTCGTGTCTGTGTTGCCCTAGCAACCTGGTCTCCTGGTAACTTCAAAGTGGTGCTGTTGCCTGGAGACCCAGGGGCAGGGCAGAACTGTGATTTCCTGGGCTCTCTCTCTCTTTCTCTCTCTCTCTGGGACCAGAAAACAGCTCCACAACATCCCCCAATACACCCACTCAAACAGCTGGGTACCCCCACACCCTTTACACACACACACACACACACACACACACACACCATGATATCTCTGCATATATTTCATTTCTAGAATCTCCATCATCCACATGCTCACAGCTATATCCATCCAGACACAAAGGATCCCATATGCATTCTGTCCTGTGTTCACACACACACATCCTTTCTCTTGCACACACACAAGAATACACTCTGATACAACTGTACCATAGCCACTACTTGCATGCATACACATGCACACAAACACATACAAACTCCGAGGCACATGGTTACACAGCTCTGTCAAAAATACTGCCTCAGCACCCACCCCCACCAGATACATTACACTGCAACACATCAGTTATACAGAGTAGTCAACACTAACATCACACAATTACCTACCCAAGAGCATTCTGAGGCCCCACCTCAGGTCCTTTGCACTTGATGTTCCTTTACCCAGAGCAGTCATTCATAGACATCTATTTGGCTCATGTTTTGGTACTAGGGATCAAATCCAAGGGTTCTTTACCACTCAACCACATCCCAGTCCTTTTTTTAAAAAAAAAAATTTTTTTTTTTGAGAAAAGGTCTCACTAAGTTTTTGAGAGTCTTGCTAAATTGCCGAGGCTAGCCTCAAATTGCAGTCCTCTTGCCTTGGCCTCTGGAGTCATGGGGTTATAGGTAAGCACCATCACACCCAGCAGATTTATAAAAAACACACAACTCCAGGGGTTAGGGTTGTGGCTCAGTGGTAGATGGCTCTCCTAGCACATTCGAGGCCTTGGGTTCAGTTCTCAGCACCACATATAAATAAATAAAATAAAGGTCTATCAACAACTAAAAAAAATATAAAAAAAAAGAAATAACTCCATTTAGGTCTCTGGCCAAATAGCATCTACATGGAGAGGCTTTCTCTGACCACGTGTGAAAACTTGCACAGCTTTGAATACCATCACTTCCAACATTAAGCATTTACTTGATGCCATCTCTCCTCTCTACAGTGTCAGCTCCACAAAGATAAAGTCTTTGTTTTGTTCACTGCCAGGTCCCCAGCTCCTAGCACAGCATCTGGCACCCAGTAGGTGCTCATAAATGTCGGCTGGGTGAGGACATTCAGTCGTGATGCAGACATTTGGCAAATCTCTCTGGACCACAGTTCTTTCTGTCACTTCTCAGAATTCCATTTTCCTGTCTTCACAGAAAGGCATTTAAAACAGAGATGCTCCATGGGAGGACACAGCAGCCCATGGTTGGGGCTGCAGAGGGGCCAGGGGTGGGGAAATGGTGGTTCAGGGTCAGTCCCTGCTTCCTCTTAGTCTATGCCATGTTCAAGCGATTGGTTCATTACTCCAACAAACATTGTTTAATCTTGTATTCCAGGGCCCGTTCGAGCCACCAGTGCCAGGTACTTTGATAGAGCAGCTGGGGACCCAAACATGAGAGAAAAATAGACAAAGTCTCTGACCTAGTAGAGCGGACGAGAAGAAAACAGCCACTAAACATAAAGTGTATGAGCAGATGATTTAAAAATTGTTTGCACAGGGAAGAGAAGCTGGAAAGACCAACTGGATTTTTCAGTTTCAAATAGGGTGGTCAGGGTAGGATTTGCTGGGGAGGTGACAGCTGAGAAAAGACCCGAAGAAGGTGAAGGAGTGAATGAAGCATGAATGCAGGGGAAGAGCCTTCAGGTGGACACACATGGAAGTGCAAATGCCCGTGCCACTAGGAGGTTGGCTTTTGCTTAGAAAGCCACTGCGGTCTTGAGAGAGATTTTTTTGTGTGTGTGTGTGTGGGGGTACTTGGGATTGAACTCAGGGACACTCAACCACTGAGCCACCTCCCCAGTCCTATTTTGCGTTTTATTTAGAGACAGGGTCTTGCTGAGTTGCTTAGAGTCTCACTTTTGCTGAGGCTGGCTTTGAATTCGTGATCCTCCTGCCTCACTCAGCCTCCCAAGCTGCTGGGATGACAGGCATGGGCCACCATGCCCGGCTTGAGATATCATGTGTGTGTGTGGGGGGCGTACTAGGGATTGACAAGGGCCTCACATGTTAGGCAAGTGCTCTACGACTGAGCTATACTCCCAGCGTGTTCTCAATGTGTGTCCTCTCTCTCTCTGTTATGGGTACTGGGGATTGAGCCCTTGTGTGATTTACCACTGAGCTACATCCCCAGTCCTTTTTATCTTAAGAGATGGTTTCACTAAGTCTCTGAAGGCCTTGCTAAGTTGCTGAGGCTGTTATGGTTTAGATATGAGGTGTCTCTCAAAAGCTCATGTGTGAGACAATGCAAAAAAGTTTAGAGGTGAACGATTGGGTTAAGAATCTCACAACTCAATCAGTGAATTAGTCTCCTGATAGGGATTGACTGAGTGGTGCCTACAGGCAGTGGCTGAATGAGGTGGGTCATTGATATATATTTTGTGAGCCTTTGATATATATTTTGTGAGCTGATCTTAGTGTCTCTCTGCTTCCAGATGGTCATGCCCTGAGCTGCTTGACTTCACCACAGTCTTTCACCATGGTTCTGTCTGACCTCGAGCTGCGAGGAATGGAGTCAGCCATCTATGAACCAAGACCCCTGAAACGGTGAGCCCCCAAATAAATTTATCTTCTTAAAATTGTTCTTGTAGATATTGTGTGTGTGTGTGTTTTGTCACTGCAGCAAAAAGCTAAAACAGACTGTCCTCCAACTTGTGATCCTCCTGCCTCAGCCTCCCAAGTAGCCAAGATTACCAGTGTGCACCAGAGCACCTGGCCACAAGGGTTTTGAGTCAAGGACAATAGTGTTCTTTCGTACGTTCTAAAACACAGCCGTTTTGGTGGAGTTGAATTTGAAATGCTGTGACTCATGGAGGTGTTCTCTCCTGAAGTTCATCCATCTTTTAGAGTTGAGAATGAGGTCAAGACCAGGGCTGCTGTCACCAACCTTCAGACCTAAGTCACTCTTACCCCTTTCTCTCCGCATCAGCACCTTGGACAGCGGTAGCGGCAATGGGCAGAGGTGCTGTCCGTGGTACTGAGGTTTTATTTGATTCTTGGCCCGAGGGGAAGTTCAGGGGGAAGCATGGATTTCAAGTGTATGAGGGGTAAACAGAGCCGTCGTGGGCCAAGCAGGTTGGTCGATGCTGTCTGTCCTCCACCTTCAGCTCACTAGTTCTCCCACTTCATTCCCTGTGGCCAACGACCCATTTCACCATCTCCCCAACCTCTTCTTCCTCTATTTCCAACTCTCCCGCTCCGCTCCAGCCCTACAGACCTCTTTGCTGTTCCCCGAACACATCAGGCATGGTCTCCAGCTCAGGAACTTTGCACTTGCTATTTCCGTCACTGGATATTTACATGGTTCCTTTCCTTTACTCCTTCACATCCCCCTGGCCATGCTCTTTAAATTATAAGCCAAGTCCCATTCACAATTCTCACATTTTCCCTAGCTTGCGTTTTCTCCTTGTCCCATATCACTCTCTAATGTATCAGCAGTCCCAATTCCTTACCTAAGTCTTTGATCTCAGAGTTTGGAATTCAGAACTTTTCCAATTTTTTAAAGTTAATGTGGTGTAAATTCTGTCTTGCATAATACCCCTAGTGGGGCCTAGGGTTATATATAATATACCAAGACCAAACACCTTATCTACAGTAAAACAAGAATATTTGCATCAAGTGAAATAATTAAAAGCTATACTTAACCTCACATCAGTTCAGATCAGGTTTGACACAAGGGAGTTAAGAAAGGATTTTGGTTTTCAAAATGGGCTTGGTACAATCAAAAGAATGAGAAGTTATACTCCATTTATGTATGATGTGTCAAAATGCATTCTATTATCATGTGTAACTAATTAGAACAAATAAAAAGAAAGAAAATGGGGCATGCCTTTAATACCAGCTACTCAGGAGGCTGAGGTAGGAGGACCACAACTTTGAAGCCAGCCTGGGCAACTTGGTGAGACCCTGACTTAAAATTTTTTTAAAGGCTGGGAAGGTAGCTCAGTGGTAGACCACTTCTTGTCCAGCATGCCTGAAACCCTGAGTAAAATTCCCCTCAAAAATGAAAAAACATTTTTTTTGTTTTCAATCTTTTATAAAAATTGGGAGTGTGAATCTATCTGTATATAGGTTATTTTCTTTATTGCTTATCAGGTATTAGCTTATGAGTTCCATGAGGGCAGGGATTTGTATCTGTTCTGTTTACTGCTATGGTCCTTGTGCCTGCCCCCCCCCAATTCCTGTTGAGATTCTAACCTTTAACCTAATGATATTGGGAGATGGGACCTCTCACAGGTGATTAGGTGCTGAGATTTGTGACCTAATTAAAGAGGCCCCAGAGAGCTCCTTCTTCCTTGTGCCATGTCATAGTAGAATATGACAGCCATCCAAGAGGGACAGGCCCTCAACAGACACCAAATTTGTTGCTGCCTTGATCTTGGACTTCCCAGACTCCAGATTTTTTTTTTTTTTTTTTTTTGGTGCTGGGGATTGAACCCAGGGGCACTAACCACTAAGCAACATCCCTGACCCTTTTTTGTATTTTATTTAGACACAGGGTCTTGCTGAGTCACTCAGCACCTTGCTAAGTTGTTGAGGCTGGTTTTGTACTTGCAGTCCTCCTGCTTCAACCTCCTGTGCTGCTGGGTTTACAGGTGTGCACCACCACACCTTGCAGCCTCCAGATCTTTGAGAAGTAAATTTCTGTTGTTTATCAGCCACGTAGCCTATGGTATTTTGTTACAGCAGTTTAACACAACCTGACACTTGGTAGGTGTCCCATAGTGTTTGTTGAATGAATGAATGAATGTGGCAAGAAGGGAAGCAGATTCCCCTTTCCGGGTTCCTAAGTATCTCTGGGATCCAAAGGTCCCACAGAGCCACAGTGTCTGGAGCTCCATGTCCTTCTGCCCTCCCTAGTCTCTTCTAAGTTCTTGGGGGTTTGGCACTTGGCACAAGCTCCCAATCAGTCCCTTGCTGCCAGATACTTGGCTTGGAGGTTCCTAGTGTCTCCTAGCATCCTCCTTCCCTCTCACACCCTTGCCCTGTCTCGAGTGCGCTCTGCTCCTCTGGCTATTGTCAGAAACAGGCCAGCTATCCGAGGAACACCTTCATGTGAGGCCCTAGTCATGTATTTCTTTGCCCTAGTGGCTTGTGAGGATTATCTGCATTGGACGGATGAAGAAACAAGAGCACAGAGACATTAATTAACAAAGAAACGACAAGCCATATTTTGACCCAAATTGCTGGCTCCATGGCCACACAACTGCATCTCCACAGTTGTCCTCAGATACACTGTGACAGTACACCCACACCCAGATTCACAGCCATCCAGACCCACAGTCACAGTCCTTCACACCCCACTGCCCGGGGGAGGCAGGCAAGTGGCCAAACTTCTGTTATAAACAGGTTTTTATTAAAGATGAGAAGCCAGATCTTTATTAAAGATGAGAAGGGTGCAGGAAAGGGGGACAGTGTCTCCTCTGCCCACTGCATTTGGCTGCTCAGGGTAGGGGAGCCCCCTCTGCTCCACCCATGCCCCCCAAGATGGCACATCTGCATGAGGCTGAGGCATGGGGGGCAGTGTGAAGAACAGGGGTGGGTTCCAAGAAAAAAAAGTTCTTTCCCACAGCCCTAATAAATAACAGAAGGGTTGGGTGGTGCACTGGGCACAGGCAAGGGGAGACACAGCACCCTGAACCCCAAAACATCTGAACTGGGGTAAGCCCTGCTTAAGTAGGGAGTCAGGTGGGACTGGGTGAGAGGGTGCATGTGGGGGAGGGGCTGAGGGAGAAGAGGTACCCCAAGGACCCTGCCATGGGGGAGCCTGCCCCCCACCCTCCAGCTGGACCCTGTGATTCTGAGGAGAAAGGATCTGGTAGCAAAGGATGAACCCTTCTCCCCCTCTCCTGTGCGCATACTTAAACACAGGCGGTCCCCCATTGACTGGAATCATACCCACCCACTCTAAAATTCTGAAAGCCCAGGGCTCCTATTGGCCGTTCAGACACTGAATGCAGGCTGGAGTTGCCCTCTTGCCTGAGGATTCTAAGAAGTGAGAGGGAGGCTCCCACTGGCTAGAGTAAACCCCTTTTGGGTAGAATTCTGAACTGGGGGTTCTCATTGGCTGGGCAATGGCCAATTGAGTCAAACTTTAGCCCTTAAAAGAACAATCCTAGGTACAAGGGCCCAACCAGCAGATGTGCCCACTGGAGTGTCCCAGAGGGCAAAAGAGGCAGGGGTTCCCCTCCCCCATATCCTTCCAGCCATCTTCTAATGTCAGGTCCGGCTGGTTTGTGGACAGGAGGCTTTGGCACTCACACAGCACACGCACATACACGTGTGGCAGGGGAGAAAGAGGGACATGGGCAGGTTCTGGGTGGATAGGTGGGCCTCACAGCAGGTGGTCGCGACTGGCAAACAGGTAAGGGCTGAAGTTGTCCCGGTGGAAGGGGGAGGGGTAGAGTCCACTGAGGGTATACAGGTCCCGCAGCAGGGGAGTGGGCAGCAGCAGCTTCCGGCCACGTCCACCGCCCCCGCCTGGCCCCCCAGGTCCAGGAGAGGAAGGTGAGGGGCCCTGGCTGGGAGTTGGCGCTGGAAGGGGCAGGGGCAGTGGTAGGGGCGTTGGCTCAGACCTCAGTCGAGGGCGGGGCACACGAGGTGACGAACACATGGCTGGGGCCCTAGAGGACACACAGCTGGGGATCAGGTGGCCACGGCGGGCGCAGTTCTGCGGCTCTAGAGGGCAGGCATCAGAGAGCAGGGCATTAGAGATCTTGGCAGGGGGCCATGAAAGTCTAGGTGAGAGCGCAGTGGCTGCCCACCGGGAAGTCCCCCTTATTTGTCCCCCCACTGTCCCCACACTCACTGGATGGGGTGAGCCGTGCCGGTGTCGAATGCGGCCTGCAGGTCTCGGATTCCTGAGAAAAAGAGGCAGAGGGAAGGGGCTAGAGGACCCCTGGAACCCACTGTCCACAACCAAGAAAGGCTCTTTAGGCAAAGAAGCCAGTGGAAAAGACAACCAGAGTCCTCTGGATTAATGGTGTCCCCTCAGGGGGCAGAAGGTGTGCACTCCCAGTCTTCAGGGTTGTTCCCTCCCTGAGACCTAGTCTGCAAGTGTGGCTGACCTCTCCACCTCCCCAGGGCCCTGCCATCCTACTTCCTGCCTGTCTTCCTGCTTCCTTGGGCCTTCTCCACCCACCACCCTCTCCAGCCGGGTACAGCCCCCGGCCCCCCTTACCTGGGCCACACTTAACTTTTCGAGGGGGCTGTCCATGGTGGGGGCCTGGCCCAGGTCCTCCCAGGGGGAGAGCCTTCGGCCAGAGGGAGGCCGGCTCTGGAAATTGTGCACAACACAGGTGACCTGTGACAGAGGGAAAAGGGCCTACTGAGGCCTGAGGCCAATGGCATAGGAGTTACATAAATATTATCCCCATTTTTCAGATCAAGAAACTGAGGCTCAGGTTTCCACAAATAGCTAACATTTTGACTGCTCTTGCACTTCACTAAGAGTTAGGTACCCACAGGGCTGGGACTAGGGAGAAGCAAGCAAGGCTGACTGTCAAGGGCAGGATTCACCCTGTTTTCATTATAACTCTTGTGGTTTTGGTTGTTTGGCTTGTGGTTTTTGCTTTTTGTTTCTGCGGTGCTAGGTATGGAAGCCAGGGCCTCACCCATGCTAAGCAAGCGCTCTACCACTGAGCTGACCCCCAGCCCCATTTAAAATTTTAATGTTCTGTATGTTGTGATTACTTGGCATGAATTTTGATTTTTAAAAAGATTTCATTAAGCCAGTGCAGTAATCCCAGCGGCTTGGGAGGCTGAGATAGGAGGATCTCAAGTTTAAAGCCAACCAAGGGGCTAAGCAACTCACTGAAAACCTGTCTCCAAATAAATACAAAATAGGGCTGGGGACGTGGCTCAGTGGTTGAGTGCCTGAGTTCAATCTCTGGTACCAAAAAAGAAAAAAAAGAAAAAAGAAAAAAAGATTTCATTAAATTATTTATCTTGATTGCTGAATGTTTGTCTTCAATTTTGCATCCAAGACAGGGCCTTGCCCTGATCCTGGTCCTGTTACTCCATTTCACAGATGAGAACATACAGGCCTGGGTCAGGTTAAAGGACCTGCCCAAAGTGGATGTGGAGCCCGAGGCCAAGGGGCTGAGGGAGGTCTCCCTTGGAGATGGGTGGGTTTGGGGCTCACCAGAAAGGTAGCGATGGCTGCTCCAGTCAGGAAGCCCGCCAGCACGTCCGACCAGTGATTGCGGTACTCGGCCACGCGGACCACGCCCACCAGGAAAGCGGGGCACAGCAGGGCCAGGCAGAGGGAGGGTTTAACCAGGCGGGAACCCTTCACGCGGAACACGAGGGTAACATACATCTGTGGGAACCAGACTGATCAGAGGACACACTGAAGTGAAGTCGACCAACCCTCGGGGACACTGTCTTTCAGGCTGAGAAACACGATCAAACTTTGGGGCTGGAGGGCGCCATCCAGGGCTACAGGCACAGAGTAAGGGACTCCAGGGTTCAAGGAGCTCTTGCAGAATAGGGGTGTGACTGAAATGGCAACTAGAGGGATCAGGAGTTGGGGTCCTGGAGTCCCACGCACACAGTCTGCTGGGCTAGGGGAATGTGACCAGAGCTCCAAAGAGCAGAGGTCGGGACCTGGGGCCCTTGTACTACCTGGACAAAGTCCCAGACGCTTACTGGGTGCGGATGGGATTAGGACGTGGCCACAGAACAAGAGAGGAGTCAGGGCCAAAGGGGCAGCTCTAAGAGCTTCAGCGGGTAGCATGCCCAGCCCCACGAGGCGACTGCTAGGTTAGAACATCATCCCAGAGACCAGAAAAAGGAACCAAGCAACAGAGGTTGCGACTAGGGAAAAACAGGACAGAGTTAGAGATCCAGGGCAACAAGGGGCGGGCCAAGGCCCAGGGGAAGGGCTGACGCCCACCGTCTAGCCCCCACCTACTCTTCAGGGCCTGTTGCCTTGTGGGAACAGAGCAGAGTTCCACACTCCCAGGACAGCCTCCTGATCCCACAGTGTGGCGGCAAGAGCCTTCTTTGGGCATGGCGTTACCAGGGCAGGAGCCATGGTTAGACATCAAGGGCAGGTCCTGTGGCCAGGACCCAGGGGAGGAGTCAGGGACCCTAACCATAGACTCCGCCCTAGGATGGGATCCTAACACCTGGGCGTGGTCTCATGGAGCAGGAGGTGGTGAGAAATCTAAGGCTCCAGGCCTGGAAGCCTCCTGACGGCAGCCCACCTCAAGCGCTTGTTCCCGACCCCTCTGCTCCTCCAGGTGCTCACCGCCGTATAGGTGACCGCGTAGGCGCAGAGGGCTGCATCCTTGCAGGGAAAGGCGCGGCGCGCAGCAGCCACGAGGCTGGGGCTACCTGCACAGGCACCTTGGTCAGTGACAAAGCGGTCAGGCCCTGGACGGTCAGGTGAGGGTGGTGAGCAGCCCAGGGCGGTGTAGTTGGGGCGGCACACTGACAGGAAGTGTGGCGTGGGGTTGCCAGTCACCACCTGCCCTGCATTGGCGAAGATGGTCGTGGTAAAGAGGCCGAAGGAGTATACGCCTGGTGGGGGAAGGAAAGGGGTTCATGTCCCCAGTCCTGATGCCCAATGGCCCTCCCCCTGAAAGCCCCCAGTCTCCACCAGCTGCTTGTCTCCCTGTTCCTAGGAGCACCTTTAAAGCACACCTGGGACCATATTATACCTGGGCCAAGGTCCCCCTTCTTTGGGGACCACCATGAAGGACCTCAGGGCCTCCTACCCCTGGAACTTTCACTGTAAGAACATGTGGCTTCTGTCCCTCTCAGATTATCCTATGTCAAGAGTGGCCTTGCCTTGGAATCCCATTACAGCAGAGGCTGGACCCTGTAACCAGCCTCCCATCAGACTAGGCCCAGGCCTGGGACCGCCTGAGAAAACCCTAAGGATGGCTGGGCCTCCTTATGCCTGCCCCACTTTTGCTGAGTTGATCCCTCTTCCCCTGGGGCCCTAATCAGCCAGAGCTGCATCTCCCGCCCTCTGCCACTGGAGCCATGCTCAGATATTCGCTCTACTCCCAGCCCCATGACCAACTGTGACTGGGGCCCCAGGTAATGTGACTGGGAGTCTCATCTGCCTGCTCCGAGGCCCCCACTGTGTTTGGCCACAGGCATGGCGCCTTCTGTGCCCAAGACTCCCCGTGTTCCATTTTTGGGCCCTTTTCCTCCAGGTGCCATTGTAGTTGGGTTAGGCCCCTCCAAGTCCCCCAGAACCTCCATTTTATTTCTAACTGAACCCAAGTCCCTTCTTGCCCCCTATAGTCTCCATCACGCCAACTGGAAGACTTTTTCCTTCATACCCTGAATTCTCTGATGGCAGAACCAGTCCTTCTCCCTTTGCCTCTGCGACTGCCTCCCCCTTTCCTATTACTACAGGGCTGACCATGGGCTGAGGCTCTCACCCAGGAAGCGAACCAGCCTCCGCAGCGGGGGGCTGAAGCGGCAGCAGGCCCCTGACACGATGGTGCTCTCCCCGATGACGGGGCTGGCGGAGGGTGGTGCGGGGAAAAAGGCACGTGCCAGCTCCCCCAGCAGGATCTGTGGACAAGACCAAGGTGGGGTCTCCCTGGCCTTCAGGCCCATATTTCCACCAGCCCATGTGGCCTTTCGGCCTCCTGGGAGGTCCTCTCCAGGGTCTGACCAAGGCAACCCACACCATCTCACCGTAAGGGTGGGCCCAGCAGTGACCAAGGCATAGATGAGGGCGGGGGGTGCTCGGCTGGCAGCCTCAGGCCCCGGATAGGGCTTGGCGTAGGTGCTGTCATAGCAGAAGAACCCCTGGGTGTGCACGGGGAAGGTGTCTGTGAACTCCAGGCGGTAAGCAAGCAGAACCACAATGCCCAGCAGCACTGACTGCACCAGCCAGGGCAGGAGAGAGCAGAGAGAGAAGAGAAGGTCAGAGGCTCTGCGGCCAAGGAGACAGAGAAAGAGAAAGGAGGGAAACAGACATGGAAGATGAAGAGGGACCACGACAAGGAGGGAGGCAAAGAACAGAGGGGAAGGAGGGAAGAGAGAGAGGGACTTGGGAAGAACAGAGAGATGAGGACAGAAGTGAGAGAAGACAGGAGAGGGGAAAGAAGAGGAAAGAGAAGGGGGTGGGAGAGAAAAGGGAAGAAGAGGGAATGAGAGAGAGGAGGGAGGGTAGTGATTATGAAGGAAGAGTGAGGACAGGGCCCAGGCTCAAAACAGAAAGACAGACACACCCAATGGGATTACACCTGAAATTATACTGTGGAGAAGCTTCCCACTAAGCCTTTTTCTGTGAATTGATATATTTTACATTCCTAAGAGCCCTTGGAGAGAGGGACTCTAGTACACCCATTTAAGGATGAGGAAACTGAGGCTCAGGTGCCAACACACTTAAGAGTCCTGAAGTATGGATGGGCAAGGCAGAGTGGGATTAGAACTCAGAGAAGGACACTTTCTGAGCCCAAGCTTGTAATCACTTCTCAAGAGAAGGGGGTCAGCAATGGAGATCCTGGGGTAACAGGAAGAGATTAGGAAGAGATGGAATAATGGATCCAGGTGGGGACCTGGCAAAAGAAGGGAGACTGAGGTTGGGCAGAGATAGAAGAGACAGGAAGATAGGTTCTGGGGTCCTCACCTCCACAAAGACAAAGCAGGGAATGATGGAGAAACTCCTCTTCGGGTGAGGTCTCCCTCCCGCCATAGTGAAGGCTGGGCCTGCAGAGCGGGGGCAGGGAGTGGGACCGCCAGGGCAACCACTGGGACCCTGGCTTCATCCCTGTGGCCACAGGGACCACTGGTTCTGCCCCTTGAGCCTTCTGGACAGCTTTGTACAATCCAGGTCCTACTTCATTGGCCCCTGGGATACTCCACTCCAACACCACCTTTAGCCTGTCAGGGACCCCAAAGATTCTACAGTGGTCCCCTTCTACAGCCTTCAGAGCTGGTAACCAGAGGCCTTTTAGGAGGACCCTCCCCACTTGGCCTTTAGAAGGGCTCCTCCATGACACCCACCCCCACCAGGTTTTAGGGGATTCCTCGCTCTTTCCCTGGGGAACTCCATGCTCCATGCCCCCAAAGCCTGCTGGGTCTCTCCGTGAGGCCCTTTTCCCATGGCCTCCTTGGGGGTCCCCTCCTCAGTCCCCACGGGCTGTGGTATCTGGTGCGGGCTGATAGCCAGGCTCGCCTCCTCTCCCAGCTGCTTTCCCTCCTCCCCCACCTCCCAGCCAGCTGCCTCTCCCCTTCCCTCCGCCAACCCTCTAACCTCGGTCCCCAGACTTCAGGGGCCAACAGTCACACCAGCTCACACCCATTCTCCCACCTGAACTCACCTGTGAAAATGCCCTAGGGCTTCTGACAGGCTGCCGCCACAACCATGGACTCACAGCCACTCCTGGTAGCCAGCAGGGCAGGGACAGTCACCCCCATTGTGAAGATGTGGAAACTAAGGCCCAGGTAGGCAAGGGTAGGCACTCTGGGTCCAAAGCTCCATCCACGAGGCTCGTTCTGCCATGTGACATGAAGGATAAGGGTCACCAGAAGCCCCAGATGCCCCCAGAGTCACCCACACTAGCACCCTCAGTGTACAACCCAATCACAGCTTCCAATCCCAAATACTGCACCCCCAAGACATTCATTCATCCATCCCAATGAGGACCAAGAGCACAATGCTGGGCGCCTGCCTCATGGTGAACAAGACAGGGCGCTCATTCACACAGGTACCCAACACCCACAACCTTCTAACAGCATTCACACACACACACACCAGGCACAGCATGCACACGGCCCGTCATGGACACCCACACAGATCAAACACGTCCCCCCACACAGTCACATAGTCAGGGAGACCAGGAGACCCTATACATGTCACAGCTACAAGAACAGCCCCACACAAGTCCTCATCCTGTCACAGTCATGGAAGTAGACTCAGGCTGCCAACACACTTAAGAGTCTCAGTATAGAGAACCACCGTACACAATGGGAGTCACAGACCGGGTCACAGAGTCACACCCCCAGTTACAAGGCTTTCAGTGACAGCCACACACATTAACAGTCTCTCACCCATTCTGACAGTCACTGGAGAGACAACGAGTCATCCACAACCACAGCCACATGGTCACACAAGGGCATATCCATGGACCATGACAAAGACTCACATATGGCCACATAAGGCATACAATCAAGACCCAAGCCAGTAAACAGCCACACACTCACATCATCAGAAAGAACACACAACAGCAGCCACACAATAACACACACACAACCATACTGACACCAAGACAGCCACACACAGTAAAAGCAATCACAGTGCCGCCAAATAGAAGCCACAACGACACACACACACACACACACACAATCTGAGTGACACTGACAGCAGCAGCCACACGATAGAGCACACACACACACGGACACACCCGAAGTCACACAATCACTGCCATACAACCACACAATTACACAACCGCACACTGACACACAATGACAACCACACAATCAGTCACCCTCAGCCACCCTCACCACCGTCGCTTGGCTCCTGACGTAGAGTCCTCTACCCATGCTCCCCTCCCCCAGCCCGGTCTGAAGCCCCAGCTCGCCGCCTCCCTTCCCCCTCCCGGTGCTGGACCCGATGGGACCCAACCTCGGAAACCGGAGTCCGGGCCTCGACCAGCAGATGGAAGATGGGAAGCCCCCGGAGGGGATGGGGGGGGAGAGGACGCCCCAGGCCCCCCTCACCCGGTGCAGCCGCCGCCGCCGCCTGAGCCCCCGCTCCGCACAGACGGCCCGGGTGCGGCGGGGCAGACAGACGGACGTCTGGCCGCGGTGACGGACGCGGAGACGGAGACACTGTCGGGCCGGCGGGGCGGGGCGGCGCAGGCTCCGCGGCCGCGGGAGGGGCGGGGCCTCCGGAGCCTCATTTGCATCGTCCAAGGGGCGGGGCCTTGCGGCGCCTCCGGAGCGTGTCGGGGAGGGGCCTCGGTTGCTCCTGGGAGCGGGGCAACTTAGCACAGATGAGGGTGGGAACGGAAGGACGGGGGCGGAGGAGGAGGACCCTGGGGTGGGAGGCCTCGAGAACGGGAGGGCGGGGCTTCCCAGAGTGACGCTGAACCCCTCACGCCCTCTCTGGGCCTCAGTTTCCCCATTGGGCATTTGTAGCAATTTGTAGCAGAGGGCCAGATCCTTAGGACTCCCCAGAAAGGAAAGGCCCTGTGGCCAGTGTGGAAGAGATTTCTGGTCACTCGTGTCTGGACATACTGACCCCTGACCTTGTCATATACTAAATCTGGTCTCACACTACCCCCTGACTCTAGCCCGCACATTTCCAACAGTCCCTGGGGTCTCTACACCTTTCCTGACACTGCGAAGTAAATGGTGGGAGGAAATAGAGGGAGGGCCCAGGAAGGACGGGAGCAAGCCCTCAGGGGTGGAGGAGGATCTCGGCTAGTTTATTCTCTGTCTGGAGGGGTCTTCAGGAAGAGCAGTCCCGGCTGCTCAATCTGTGGAGAAAGAGGGCGGGGTCAGGGCCTGGCCTGGCCCAGGGGACTCCAGGGCTTCAGGTCAGGGGCAAGATGCCCAAGGAGGGAGCTGGGTTGGTCTTGAGGGTCTATGCTGTTGGAACCAAGGGCAGGCCAGAAGGGAAATGGGTGGGGTGGGGGTCAGGGAGGATCCTCACCGTGTGGAAAGGATCGGCTCTTGCCGAATTGTGGCTTATCAGAGTCTGAATCTGAGTCCCAGGAGGGGAGTGGAGGGCTCAGGCACCGGTGCCCATTGTGGCCTGTGGAAGAGACATTGTGGCCCTTCACACATGAGCTCTGAATGTGACCCTGAATGACCCCTGGATGAAACCTCCCATAAGTCCTTAATGTGACTTCAGAACATTACTTAATGTAACCCTAACCGTAACCCTAACTCTAAAATAAGACCCAACACCTGGGCGTGATGGCACATCCCTATAATCTCAATGACTTAGGAGGCTGAGGCTGGAGGATCACAAGTTTAAGGTCAGCTTCAGCAACTCAGGGAACCCCTGCCTTAAAATGGACCTCTAACTGCTGGGATGTGGCTCAGTGGTTAAGCACCCCTGGGTTCAATGCCCAGTACTGGGGGGAAAAAAAGATCTAAATCTCGAAAGATGTGACTCTCTAATAGAACCTCTGAACATGACCCCATTAAGCAAAGCTGGCTAATGACTCCACCCCCACTTGTGAGTGATGCTCAGTCTCCTCACCCCTGAGGCTTGAAGCCCGGGGGTGGACCCCCGAAGACATAGTAAGGCCATCAATGGAGTTCTGCAGCCCATGAACAGCAGACCTATGGGAGATAGAGAGATGTGGATCCCCCGAGACACGGGACTGCTCCGGGTGGGGACTACAGCAGGGGGAACCCTAGGGGAGGTGAGTCCTGTGGGGAGAGGGAGGTCTGAACTCAGATGGGTTCCAGGTTCCAGTGGTCACTGCCAGATGGAACTGGAGGGAGCTGGTCAGATGAGGCTCAGCAGTTAGAGGTCAGACCGAGGGCTGGGCATCACCATATGTCACTCAGTTCCTTCTGGAGGTCATCCTTCCAGCAGCCATTGCCCCCCAGTGGCACCTCCTCAGTCTCTGGCCAGGCAGATGGATCAAACCCCTGCTGCTTCATCTTGGTCAGGACCTGGGATCCGCAGGGATGAGAGATCAGACACAATGATAATAATGACGATGGTGAAAGGGGACCATTATGAGAACTTATTATATGCCAGGATGCATTCAAAGCACTTAACCTTCATGAACCCAGCTACAGGATCAGGGAGAGCTATGTCATTATTATACCCATGACACAGAGGAACAAATTGAGGCCCAGAAACACAAAATGACTTACCTGTGCTTGCACAGTGATAAGTGGCAGAGCTGGGATTTGAACCCAGCCTCCAGTCTGATGGCAGAGGCTGGTAGAGACCCCACACTCCCGCCTTGCCCAGGGTCCCCCATCTGCTCCGCTCACCTTGCGGCATTTCACCTGTGTCTTCTGCATTTTCTGGATGTTCACCAGGTTCTGCGCGATCTCCTCCTCCTGTGCCTCTGTTGGGGGAGGGGGCTCAGGGGGACAATCACAGCATCAGGTCCCCCCTCTTGGCTGCAGGCTCCAGGTACTCACGGAGCTTCTGATAGATGAAGGTCACCTCCTCCCGTACCAGCTCCAGCTCCTCCCACAGGAACTTCTTGCTGAGGGGACAGGGCAGACTAGACCTTCTCCCAGGTCTCCCTTGCCTCCCAGGACCCCATCTGTACCCCCCCACACACCTGCCTACCTTCCTCTTACTACTGTCCCTCTACCTCCCACTCCTCTCCTCCTGACCACTCTTCTCAGCCTCTCCACTCTGTTGGCCTCCATCTTCCTGCCTCCTTCCCCCCTCAGCCTCCCATACCACCCCAGCCTCCTCAGTCCCTAGCCTGTTTCCCCATCCCACCTCCAGCTTCCGGTCTCCCCTGCCTTCTGGTCTCCCAGCCTCCCCAGCACCCTCTCCCCAGCCACCAATCTCCCCTGAGCCACTCATCCCTTCCTCTCATCCCCAAGCCTTTCACTAAGCCCTCATCCCCTTACCCAGGCCTCTCCCTGTCCCTCTTCCTGGCCTTCCCTGCTTCTCATAGCCGGCAGGCTGCCCTCCTGTCAACACCCACCTGTCCCTGATTTCTTGGGCCAGCAGCTGCAGGCAGCGAGTGGTGCGGACCCGCTGCACTTCCTCACTGTCACGCAGGGTCTTCTGCAGCCCCCTAAGGCCTTGGGCCAGCGCCCCATAGAGCTCCTGCCGGCCCTGCTCTGTGTCCCACTTCTGCCCGTCCTTCTCTCCCTGGCGGCCCACAGGGCTCAGCACCTCTGCAGAGAGGTGGGGACCTTGACTGAGCCCTGAGGTCAGTTTTAAGCCCAGCTTGCCCTAATCTTGGCCTGACAGGGACCTGGAACTCAGACTGGCTGACCCTGACAGAACTACCCGCCAGCCTGACCTTGACTCCCATCCAGTCCTTACCTTCAAGCTGCTGGATTTTGATTTGTTGCAAGCAGCTCTCCTTCTCCAACATGGTCACAGAGTGGTTCAGGAACTCAAAAGCCTGTGAGGGAAGAGGTCAGGCCTGGGGTAGGAAGGAGGGCAAAGTGGGGCAGAGGTTGCTGAGGATGGGGCCAGGGTGGTTTACCTTGGTCTGAGCCTGTAGCTGGCTCTTGAGTGACTCTAGTTCACATCTCAGGAGCTTCTGGGAGTCAGGAATCATCATCGTGGACTTAGCTGTGGGCAGAAGTAAGGGTGAGCTGGGGTGGGGACAAGGGCAGCACAGAATCAGCAGAGGCTCAGAGTAGGGCTAGAAGCTGGGGTAGAGTACAGATTGGGGGTCTGCTGAAGCTGGAGCAGGGGTGAATGGTTAGTGATAACGGTGGTCATCTGCAGGGCAGAGGGTGGAAGGGGAACAGCCAGGTCTTTCCCACAGTTACATTGGGAAGGAGGGTTCTTACCTTTGACTTTGGAAGAGCTGGTCTCCAAGGGCTTCTAGGGAAGGGGGACAAGAAGGGAGTGGAAATTTGGCCCAATTTGGAAGGTTGGACAAGAGTTGGGTCTTCTGAGATATAGGTGTCCCAAACCACAAGCGCTGGCAAAGCTGCCTCCAGGCACATCTGGCTTGCACATGCTCAGAATGCACTGTGTGGCACATCCCACATGTGTGTAGACCTGTAAGTTGCCCCTGATAGCAGATGCCAGCCCTGTCCCTGGTTTGGGCTCAGGTGATGGCCCTCCTCCGTAGGGGCAAACAGCCTTGACAATGTCTGCAGTGGGCATCAACGGCACTACACACGGTTGCCAACATACAGACCCCCCAGACATCCAACCTCAGGCATAGCCATGCATGCTAGGTTGTAAGACCCAGGCATCCATTTGCTCACATTTTGACATACAAGCCAAATCACAGCCAGAGATACAGCAAAACAAACAAACAAACAAAAACCCCACCAAATACACATGACTGCACATCCCTTCCATCCACTCCTTACATTATGGAGATCCTGATGAGAGGAGGACGCTGTTCTAGGTGCTGAACACGTATAGCTTGAGTACCCTTGAAGGTCCCCCTGCCCCATAACCCCTTCCCTAAGTCCCACAGAAGTATACTGCAGTGTTTTCCTAGACTGAAGGGGTTTCCTGGGTGGGGTGACCTTGGCTGTGTTTTGATGCCTCTTCAGAAGATCCTGGTCATTACAGTGCTCCTGCTGGTCTGGGTTAGAAATGGAGGGAGCCCCATGTGGCTGAGGTCCCGAGCCCCACCCTGGTTTCCAATCTATAATCCTCACTGTGTCCTCAGAGGCAGTAGGTTCCAAGGTCTCTGGTTCTGTGGTCCTGGTCCAATAACTCCTACAGTCCACAGCTTTGTCTGAAGAAGACCCTAGTGGGGAGGACTTCCTTGAGGGACAGGCCAGAGCATGCCTTGCATCCCCAGCCCCTCCCCTCTCCAGCCTGAAGGCAGCCCCTCAACAAACTCACACTTCCCATAAGCAGGCAAACACACGTTGGAGGTTGAATGAGAAGGGGAGTGAGGGGGTACAGAGTAGTCCTGGTCCAGGGGTAGGCCAGCCAAAAGAGGGTCACTGTGAAGAGGGGGACAGAAGTTTCTTTGAGACCACCCCTCGTATCCCAACACTCCAGACCCTCCCTGACAACCCAGAGAGGCCTCAGCTCTGAATACCCAGCCTCTCAGTTATGGCAGGAGCTGAAGCTGGATGAAAGATGATCCCAGTCCCAGAGGTTAGGTGGGGCAACAAGGAGGACCTAGAAGACTCCAAAGAAATAAGGCCTTGGAAGAGATGCAAAGGACCTTAATACTGGCCCTTAAGGGGAGGCTATTCCTGGAAGGAAATAGCATGTGCAAAGGCTTGGAGATGTAGAACCTCATATTCTATGTTGGTAAATTCAGGATGGCTGAAGGCAGCATCCAAAAGAAACAGCAAGAAGTCAGTAGAACAGCTCAGCTAAGGCACTGAAGCCAAGCACAGGAGTTTGGGCCTGGCCCTACAGGTGAATAAGACCCGTAGTGGGTGAGCAGGAGAGGCAGGACATATCTATTCAATACATGTTAGCTCAATTTGAGCCCAGGCCTGTGCCAGCTAAGGCTGGGAACAGGAAATAACTTAGCTCTGGATCTCACATGGCCCCTCCTGTAGAATCAGAGCTGACACAGATGGAAAGACCTGGGGCAGATCTATTTGGAAAAACTTCCAGGTGAAGGGCACCTTGCCCTGGATTACACTCAGCCAGTTCTTCAAACTTTTCTACCTTCCTCTTCTGTTGCCCTTGCTGAACCCTCTGCCTGGTGTCCTTCCTCTGGCCCAGTCTACCTGGAGGCTCCTACAAAACCCTACTCCGCACACCATTGGAAAACCTCTATTAATCCTTTTTCTTTTTAGGCTCATATCTTCTGAGTGTTCACTAAATCTTCACACCAACCCTGTAATGCACAGGTTATTCTGCCTGAAATTTTCTAGGGACCCCTTCAAGAGACACTGATTTAGGGAGATCCTCATCTTCTGAGGCAGGAGAGCATCACGGATACGAAATGACACCCTCCAGCTGGACGGTCTGGATTCAAATCCCAGCTCTGCTGCTTCCCAACTGTGTGGTGTTGGAGAATTCTCGGGCTTCTCTATGCCTCAGAGTGTCTCCAACCACGAAAATAGGGTACCACTGTATCCATTTTACGGGGTTGGCATGATTCAGTATATTGATCCATGTCAATGCTGGCAGTTTAACATAGTGGTGATGGACCTGAAGACCATGGGGGATCTGAGAGATTTGGAGGGGGAAAAGGAAAGCCATATCTGAACCTCAGCTGCAGGAAGTCCTGCCTACCCTTCCCTGCCCACCAAAGTTGATGGATTCTTCCGACATCCTCCCGGGAGAATTCTTTGGGAAGGGGGCGGGGTCAGCAGCCTGGGGGCCCCGCCCCCAGGTCGTGAATCCTGCCCTAGACAAGCTCCGGACTGCCTTCCATCCCTACCTACCGCATACCACCAACCTGTTCATGCTCTCCCATCAGGGACTGCGAAGCCAGTCCCCAGCTGTGACGCTGAAATTTGATCCTATGGGGGCACCATCGTATTTCCTAGGCGCGGAGGCCTAGGAAAGAGTCACAGAGAGGGGTGTGGCCGGCGTTTTAGCTCCGCCCTCCGCCGAGGGATCCGAAGGCCTATTTGGTGCCTTCGTAGCCGCGATGTCATTGGATGAAAGCCTGGAGCGGGGGCGGGATTCCAGGCTGCTTCTCGCTAGCCGATTACTCAATCCCTGGAGGGCGGGACGGGGGCTGCAGAGCTACGATCCGATTGGTTTCGGGCTCAGCTGGAGGCGGGACGAGTCCTTGGTTGGGGCGGGTCCCGACGCGAGGCTGCAGGCTGCCCGGGAGGTCCGCGGTCCGCGCCAGAGCGCGGGAGAGAGGTACGGCGTTCGGACGGTACGGCCCTGGAGACTGGTCCCAGCGCCTGCGGTCTCCGACTCCGGGGGCTCCGGGCAGAGGCCCGGGCTCCCGACAGTGGGGTCGGTGTCCTCGCATGAGGTTTGGGTTTTCCCAGGAGAGACGAGGCCTTCGGGAGAATATGGGAGAGGGTCTTCATAGGATATGTCGGGTCCTGTTGGAGAGGAGGGGGCGTTGGCTGTTAGAACTGGATCCCTGGAGGGATACTTAGGGTGATCTCTGAAGACCTAGGGCTGCGGCCTTGAGCTGTTGGGACCGATATTTGAGGGTCTCGGAGGTGGCAGGAGTGTTGGGGTAGTCTAGGGAGCCTGAGATCTCGAGTGCTGACATTTGGTGAGTTGGGGTCCGGGTTGTCACGGGACTGCTTTGGGTCTTCCCACCCCCACTCCTGGGCTGCTTTCCCTGGACAGCTGTTGGATCGACTGTGACCCTCACCCTGAGCAGCCTCACAGAGTTTAAGGCCACAGGGCAAAGGTAAAACCCTGAATCACTTGGTGCCTGTTCCCAGGGCAACAAGATGGAGGAAGGCGGGAACCCAGGAGGACTGATTAAGGTGGTCCATCTACTGGTCTTGTCAGGTGCCTGGGGCATGCAAATGTGGGTGACCTTCGCCTCAGGTAGGGACCCTCTTTGGGGCCATCATGGATACCCAGGGTGGGGATCAAAATGGGAGGGGAACCTGGAAGTGTCCTAATAGGCATGTGGTCCCCTACCTCACAGGCTTCCTGCTTTTCCGAACCCTTCCCCGACATACCTTCGGCCTCGTGCAGAGCAAACTCTTCCCTTTCTACTTTTACATCTCCATGGGCTGTGCCTTTATCAACCTCTGCATCTTGGCTCCACAGCGTGCCTGGGCTCAGCTTACATTCTGGGAGGCCAGCCAGGTACGCAGTCTTGAGTGCCACTATCTTCTGGAGACTTGTTTCCAAGATCCCAATGACCACCTATGATCATCCCTTTGAGGAAGAAAGAAATCATGCCCCTTCTTCCTGGTGGAGACAGAGTTGGGCACTGGCTATCCTTGAGCAGTGCACAGTCTACACAACTGTCCCCAGCAGTCCTGTCTGTACTCCAGTATCTCTCTCTTGGCTGCTGCTCCCTCTCTTCCCCATGGCTGGGCCTGTTGCCAAGCTGAGGTGACTCAGCTGTGCTGGGACTCTGACCCCAGCTCATTGTTTAAAAACCAGCCCAACTGGGGATTTAGGGTTCCCTACCCCATTCACACATGTCCCCAGCCATGAGGCAAGGGACCATCTCTGCATCTCGGATTTCTCTACCTTGTTCTCCCTCTGCCCACTATGTTTCTCAGATGTGGGCAGGTTAGGCCTGACAGGTGTGTCAGAATAATCTAGAGACAGAAGAGGATTATGGGTGACTAGAATTTCACATATGTTTTAGTCACTTCCTGTGGACCCAAGTTGTGGAGTCTGGGCTGAGGCTAGAGGAGAGATGGGCTTCATGTTTTGGGATAATGAGGAGTCAGTCAGTTCTCTGTCCTAATTTTGGGAAAAGAGATCCTGCCCTTAGATAGCCATAGTTTGGGGGAACACAGGAGATGGGGAGACAAGCCCCTGCCTTGGGGACTTTCAGTCTGGGTGTCAGAGGAGAGAGGCTCAGGGGGAATAGAGGAGATGGAGCCACCCCCACGGCCTTTCCTTAGGGGCCACCAGCTTCAGGTTGTCTTTCTGGGTTCAGGGAAGCGGGGGGCTGGCTTTGATTCAGTGCTGTCTTGATACCATTGTGGACTGTGAGGATGCAGACGGCCCTCCCCAGAGCCCCTCCCACCCCCAGGCACCGCTTACCTTCTCTTCCCGCTGCGCTTGCCAGCTCTGCCTGCAGCTCCTGAGCCTCACCCTGGCTACCATCAATGCCCACTGGCTGGAGCCGCACACTACAGCTGCTATGTGGGCCCTGCAGATTGTGGAGAAGGAGCAGGGCCTAGGCGGGGAGGTGCCCGGCAGCCTCCAGGGCCCCGACCCCTACCGCCAGCTGCGGGAGAAGAACCCCAAGTACAGTGCTCTCCGCCGGAACTTCTTCCACTACCATGGCCTGTCCTCTCTTTGCAATCTGGGCTGTCTCCTGAGCAATGGGTTCTGCCTCGCTGGCCTTGCCCTGGGCCTCAGGAGCCTCTAATATGGACCCTGAATGTCAATAAATGCTTCTTTGGAGATGGCTTCTGTCGTTTTCTCGCCCTATGAGAAGCAGGGATGTGTGTGTTCAAGGGTAACCCTGGTCCTGTTTCCCTGTTCACATGGCATGATTCGGAATGTTAGTTATACAGCCCCTGAGTCTTTCCACTAGTGATACCCATTAATTGAGCACCAGCTGTATAGCAGGCATGATGTTGACCATTGAACATACCATGTATTGTTGCAACCATAGCTGGTTCTGATCCCTAAGGGACAATTTCCTATCCCACTGACATTGGGAGTGACTGTGTGACTTGCTTTGGCCAATGGAATGTGAGCAGATGTGGCACGGATCTCTTCCAAGGAGAGGTGTTTCAAGACAGGACATAACATGCTACATTTTCCCTTTACCACTGCAACCATTGTGAGAACCAGTCATTGGCTATTGTGTGTTGTGAAGAGTTTGGTGCTGTTTGTTACTGAGCATATTCAAGCCCTTCCTAACTAATGCACTGCATCTCAATTCATCCATGTAGCACACATAAGAGGAAGCTACTGTTCTCCTGAGACATGGATGTGCAGAATTTAGCCAGTTGCTTGAATACCAACAAATCCTAAACTATTGTAACTACTCTCCTTCTGGCTTGAAGAAAACATGGATCCTTTTTAGATCTAAATGCCAATTTTATTTATTTATTTTATGTCAGATCTTACTGCGTGGGAGCTGGGGTTGTAGCTCAGTGGTAGAGTGCACGCCTTGCATGTATGAGGCACCGGGTTCGATCCTCAGCACCACATAAAAATAAAGGTATTATGACCATCTACAACTAAAAAAGATTTTTAAAAAAGAAGAAAAAAAGATCTTACTGTGTGGCCTCAGGCAAAGAGCTGCCCCTCTCAGAGCCTTAGATTCCTCATGGGTAAAAGGTAGTTTTAACTACAAGCGCCCACTTTAGGACCACGCACTGCCCTTTACCAACACTAACTCATCAGAATGCTCACACAACCCTGTGAGAGGGGCCACTTGAAGGATGGAGAAACTGAGGCCCAGAGAGGTTAAGAAGCGTGTCCAACGTCACAAGACTAGAAAGTGTCGGCGCTCCTAACCGCGGTGCAGAGCCTAGGGACAGTCTACCTCCGTCCGGCTCCGCTCCCGAGGCTCGGGCCGGCCTCCCGCCCC